CAGATGGCCTAGGTGGATCTATGGTTTGCTTACCCCCTCGAGTAGTAACTGCCATACAATGCTCGTCATTCTTTGGATTCTGAATGGTGTTGCTAGGAAGAGTACCAGGTTGACGTGGGTTCACTGTAGTAGACATTTGGGTCATCTACTACTCTAGGTGCTTTATTGACACTGCATGGGCATAAACCTTTTGCCCAATACCAGACAAGTCGCTTCTCATCTCCTTCACATTCTCATCAGTTGCATCAAACCTTCTCATCATTTTCTGAATCATATCTTCAATACGCGCCATATTGCCTCCAGTTTCCCTAGCACCAGATTCCTGATTTTGAGGGGGAACATAAGGTCCAACCCAATCATTTATGTTGCCATAGTTGTTCATGTTGTAGTTGTTGTCAAGATTGAAGTTCCCATCCCGGACATAGTCACCCTCTCGGTTGTAATTTCCATAGTTCCGACCTTGGTTTCCTTGAGCATTTGGTCGAAAACCCTCCGTCTGATCCACAGCGTAAGCATCCTCTTCATAGTAACACTCTTCAACTGGTGGTGGAGTTCTAGTTAAGTAATTCACAGCATTTACCTTTTCTGCTCCTCCGCTCACATGCTTCAATACCATCCCCAACTCGGTCCTCATCTGGGCCATTTCCTCATGAATATCATCTGCAGAATTGTTATTTGTATTCTGAACGGCAAATGTGTTTCTCCCAGTTACTGACCTCCTAGTGCTCTATGCTTTATTGTTGTGAGAGATCCTCTGTAGTGTTTCAGCAATCTGTGCATATGTACAATCACCATATGAACCTCCGGTAATAGTGTCAAGTACTGCTTTATTGTTATCATCCTGTCCTCGATAGAAATATTCCTTCAGCGACTCATCATCAATACGGTGATTTGGGACACCTCTTACGAAGGCAGTGAATCTGTCCCACGAGCTACTCACAGACTCTCCAGGTAATGCCACAAAATTATTGACCCTATCTTTGTGATTGAGCTTCTTGGACACTGGATAGTGATTTGCTCGGAACACCTCTGCCAGTTGGTCCCATGTAAATATTGAGTTATACGGAACCTCCGTGAACCATACTGCAGCATCGCCTGTCAGTGACAGAGGGCACACTCGTAATCCAATGACATCCATATCCAAGTCTGGTCTACCTACACAACTTTTGAAAACCATCCTTAGCTTGGCTAAGTGAGCATGTGGATCCTCTGATGGCGATCCTGAGAATAAGCCTCTTGCTGTAAGCATCTGCATCAAGCTACTAGTCACCACA